GTGTCAAGCAACACAAGGATCCAAATGAGGGGCAGGAGTCTGTGACGGAGGACCGCTCGTTATCAATTTCCGGGATCGGCTTAATAGCTTGGGAAGTGGACTCAAAGTCAGTGTTCGAACCAACGAAATCTCTGTACCCGACTCCAAACGGAACATATCCAACTACATTCATTGCAGTGCGTTGGGAGGGTGATATCTGGACATGGGAGTCTCGTGAGGATTTTTGTTCTTTGATGGGGGACCTCACCCAGTTCGAAGTCGACATCCTTTTATACTTTATGGCAATATCTCAGGAAGGAGACTATGTCAAGGCCATGACTGGGAAAAGACCGACATTCCCAGGTATCGCAAGTACCTAAAGAGTCAATTGGATGGATCGGGATAGTTGCCAAAGTCTTATTGCGGTTAGAACAGTAAATTGCTTTACGCCACTCAGTATTTTATGTTCTTTTTCAGGGTTGTGCAATCTATTCGGGTTACATACATATGCACGACAAATCACGCAAAGTAGTGTCCAATCGTCTCTTAGTAGTAGCACACTCGAACTGTTGGCTCTCGGGTATATAATGAGCCTTGTGCCCCAGCTCTGGCTCAGCCAGACTTCTACTTTTCTCCCACCTGGTCAACCTAGCACCTAGGTACCCCTCTCTTCTTTACCGGCCACGATGACCAGTCCGTCAAGTACTATTCTTATTGAAGATGACGAACTACCCCTGAGCTGGCGGCCAACCGATTCACAAGTCCAAAGAAGATCTCCACGTACATCTCTTGAGGTCCTGATCGAACCAAACGATGCTGCGAGTGGTAGCATAGAACCGTCACGCAAACGCAAAAGAGCCAAAGGAAAAGGGCGTGACACTCTGGTATGGCCTTTTCGACTCACTCTGGTTTCCTATACTAATCATAAACCAGGATACCTGTTTCAGGAAGCTGCGCAAGACATTTGACGAAGAACTTGGATATTTCGATCAAGAAGTTGAAAGGCTGCAACAAAAATTCCAGGAGATCGAAAGGAAGCTTCTCCTACAGGAGGAGCGGTACCAAGAGGAACTTCGGAGCAAGCTTATCCTACAAGAGGAGCGGCATCAAGAGGAACTTCAGAGAGAGCTCCTCCTACAGGCAGAGCAGCATGAAGTGGCGCTTTCCCAGATACGCACTCTGAGATGCATCATTTGCTACGAGCAGCCAGATCGTTGGCATGTGCGGGCATGCGGGCATTTGATTTGTGAGCAATGCGAAAGTGTGCTTTATGGAGCTTCATGCCCTATGTGTAGACAGGAATTGTCGGGTTTTATCAGATGCTTTCCATTTGGAGGGTAGATTTACATGTATTTTCTCCTTAAGACCAAATTCCTTAAGACCAAATTCCTTAAGACCAAATTTGAGCTTGACGCACTTAGTGATTTAACTCGAACTTTTTTTCAGCTTCGGAATGTTTGCAATTTATGAACACTAAAGACTATAATATATAACGAGAAAATTAGGGTCGGCCGTGTGAGTCGTGGACCCTCAGGTTATTTTCAACTTTCCCTTCAATATCATCATCGTCCAACGGCTCAAGCTTATCACTCTACATCTGATGGTTAGTTCAAAATCTCTATACTATTGTAGGTTTCTTACAACTTCATGAGGTGGCCAGATAGAGTAGATAATCCGGGTTTGTCCACGAGTGTGGCGTACCACTACTACATACCCGCGTACAAATCCCAACTTCCGGGCGATTTTGGAAAGAAGTCCCATTCTGAGGCAATCGAGATAATATGGGATAATTGAACTTGAAATATTATGACGGTGACGAAGCCTGAGGCTAAAGGAGAATGGAAGGGAAAGTGGTTATTTAAACTCCATGGAGTTTCAGTGATCCCCATATTTATCTCTCCTGGGAGGCGCTTATGTACCTCGTCCACATTGCGCTTTTGCGCTTTAGTAAAATATTCTGCCCATTTTCTGTAGCTACCGGATCATGGCCGTGAGCGGCTCGCCGACGTGGGGAAACTCCGGTCACCTGTCATTGGTTGGTGGGAAGACAATGAATCTAACTTTGGCTTTCAATTGTCTTGCGAGACCTACCCCAGAGGCAGCATACGGTGCTGATTTAATATAAATATTGGCAGAAATCTGCGAGTCATTGCACCGGACGACGGTTCCTGAGGTCCTCGCCACTGACTTCTGACTGCCTCATCATGCTGTGGGCGGCTCGCCGACAAGGGTAGACCTACCCCGATTCCTTGTCATTGGTGGAAAGAGAGTAATTCCAAGTTTGGAAAACTGTTGAGGCTTTCGTGCATGCTTCGGCACGCGAATTTAGTCTCATCATATACCCAATTACCCGTTGTTTGATGAATGACTAGGGCATCAAACCACCCTCTTTCCCATGTAGCAGTCCCAGAAGCTAGGAGGCTAAGTATAAATTCCATCTTTTTCTGAGGCCCTGCATAAGTAAAACAGGTAGCAACCCCGGTAAGAAAGTTTAGCGCGAGCGTTTCTATATTCTATTTTTAGGTTGCACATAATTTGACTTTCAAAAAGTGACAAAGTAGCTTTTGTAACATACACGGTCATCGTCATTATATTTAGATATGTTGGATCAAACTTTTTGTATTTCCTCGTAGACCTTTCAAGTTTGTTACGATTGAAAAAGTCGTTTGCAACATGTCTCAATATCCAGAAGATTCTCGGGTCACTAGGTTTCCACGAAGTGAGGATGTCCGAGCTGTCACAGGTTGGCAACAGCCTGCTAAGAATGGATTTGCACCGAACCAACCGTACCAGGAAAAACTCTCTGTCAATTATTCCACTGAAATTCTGCCTCCCAAACGCTCTATGCCACCCCTTCCTGTCGAAGAGAGGCTCCCACAGGCCTCGAATTCTCTTGGGAAGAGACAAGCAACTGCGTTCTGTAAGGAGAGCTCTCCCTGGATAACAAACCAAAAGTTCGCCATTCTAGGAACGTCTGGAACCACGTACCTTTCACAAAGGCTCACTTCATCTCGTGATATCGTCATAATTCGAGAGCATATGATTTCAGAGTCTGGAATCACTCAAACCCTGATACCAACAAGCCACATGAATGTGGTGAAATTGAAAGAAGCGTTTGTGGACAATGGTCTCGCCTACATTGTGTACGAGCAAATGGAAATCTCTTTGCCACGTCTACGCTCCAGTGTTAAGCTCTATAATGCTGAAATTGCCACTATATGCAAAGAGGTCAGTTTGGTTTTGAATATTCTTTTATTGTATACTGAGAAACTTCTAGACTTTGAAGGGGCTGCTGTATATTCATCAGACATTGCGCGTCACCTATACTGGGTTTCTGTATAAGAATATTTTTTTCGATCGCTCGGGCTCTGTCAAAATTGGTAAAAGCATAGTGCTAGTGAAACTACAGCAAGAATCTAACTATGTACAGGGAACATCGGACCGAGTCTGATGGCAAACAGCAAGCCGTCTCCGAGAAGTAACGCTGGATCTGTTGGCAACCTTCTATTGCATATTATGCAACCGGGTACTATGTGTCGTAATCCAGAAGAGGCCTCATTAATTAATCCTGAGAACTGGGATAAATCGATCGTCGAATTCCAAAAATCAACCGAAGATTTATCCATCGAGCAACTCCTAGAGGTAAGTGGTTCTAGATATTTATTTCGGTGCTGAAATTGCCGAATTGAATTGTTAATCTAAAAGCCGCTTAGCATTCTTTTCTAGGTTTAGCCAGGCCCCTGTCTAGTATTGTGCCATTGGTGTGGAAGTCCAGCAGGAAAGCGAAGTTGACGTGGAGAATGACTTAAGTTCATTATTTGGTAGAGTTTCAAAAATGACCATATCTATTCGAAGTAGTCCAGAAGTTACATTTGCACAAATTCACAAACGCACATATGCGTAAATGTACAAAGTGAACGTCTACTTCTACCATGCTTATCCTCTATTAATTGTTCCTTCCAGGCCAACGATGTTAGTTGGATAGCCCTTTTGGTAGTCTCTCTTTGGTAGTCTCTAGGAGACTACAATGCCCATATGGAGTCCCCTTGCTTGGACCACGTTTTCTTGCGGGACAAAAGAAAATGTTTCCGAGGCCGTGCTAAGATATATCTGGACCATTTAGACTATCATGGAATCTCATCAAGAGGCAAGGTTGATGAAAAGCATATCGACAATCTCGTTCATCTTTTTCAAGTTGAAGGATGTATGCGCTTACACGAGCCCGAAAATTACGTGCCGGCTCTGATCTCTCAAGATGAGCTGTCCCAAGCTCTCTCTTACAATGGGCTTAAGGGCCTAAACTTACTTCAGGAGGGTGAGCCACGATTGATAAACCTTCCCGAAGGCATATCAATAAAGCTTCTGCACGGTGAGCATCGAATGCGAGCAGCTGAGCAATTTTTGGAACCGAGCGAAAGATGGTGGGTCGTCATGCTATACACCACAGGTGGGTTAATTCTCATTCATGTTTAAAAGTCTATGACTTACATCGCAACAGAGCTTGACCAGTCGACTCAGAATGCTATACGCGAGGAATACTCACATCAGTTGAAATTCACTGACGGAGATATATATCGAAGCATATGCTTACATGCTCGTCGTCAAGATCCATCACGGGTGAAGAAATGGGAAGCAAGGCTGTCACCCAAGAAAAGAAAACTTGTTTCTTTACTGAACAAACCCCTGCACCATCCAATACGTGATGGTCTAAATCGGAATTTACCCTTTGTCGGGTTGTGGGATGTCCTCGAGATTGGTGCTCTGAGCCGAATCCTGCCGCTCCATTGCCCCCAGGTACTATTAAATATGCAATTTACGTTGACCGAGCACTGACTGATGACTAGGAATTTGGGCACTATCTCTGCCGGATACATGAGATATGGAGTTTTATCCTTCATGACTCCCACCTTTACGGATTGCTCGATCCCAGAACGGTCAGCCTGTTGGAAACTCTTTCGCCGGAAGCCTCTCATGATGCCTCTTTAATTATTAGGTTAATGGATATAAGAGACATCTTCCCTGGTATTGAGAATCTTATCACACGCGAGGAAATAAAGAAACGAATTTTACAAGTCAAGGGCCGCATACTCTCCTTTTACACTTTTTTTGATGACTGGAAATATATGGAAGCTCTAGTGAAATCGGTTCGGCCGCTTTTACCGCTATCGCAAAATTCACTCCGTGATGAATTTTATTCTCACTTCGTGGGCAAACGCCACTCGTCAAATGGGATCAAGATCCAGACGGGTGAGCATCGATACCGGACTTGCCATGATAGCCTAGTGCAGCAAAAGTTCCTGGCGTACCTGATGATGTTCCTCGCTGCTATGCGTGATTTTCCAATTCTCAGCCAAATCGCACCCCGCAAGTCTAAAGGCGAAAAGAAGCCTTCAATTGAAGGGTCCCCAGAGGAACGACAATCTTCTCTTGCTCAACTAGCTGTCGAAATAGGATTCAAGTCTAATGAAATCGAGCGCCTGCTCGCCGCGGATCCTGATATTGCAGCTGCCAGATCTTTTCTGCGCCGATCTCGACCACTGGACCGATATGCGGTAGACGAGAAATATGCCATTGCTCTGTCAAGTCGGATTGGGAAAGAGTTGAAAAATTTGGCGACTCCAATTTCCAGTAAATCCCCCCCAGAATTCTCATGTCAGTTGGACCGTATCCCCAAAGAATTCCGATGCGGGATACCCGACAACCGGAGTTATAAGAATGACCGAGAACATCTCTACATCGATGTAATATACAATTACAACCCCATTCCACGATCTAATTTAACCTCGTTGGCTTTTCAACGTGATATATTTGTTTCGTACTTCGGAATAATCACTATTCCCGGAACATCTCAACGCAGCGATTCAGCGGATGGTGGAACCAAAGGGCCAGAGGACCCATATTCACCAGAAATAGAACATTCAGTTGTGATCGAGGAAGCACATTCCTCAGGAGAGGTTCCTTCTCAACCAGATGCAGAAAACAATAGCTCTGTCATATCAGCTGTGCAAGATGAAGAGGATTACTTTTTGAATTACGCTCAGAAAAACACTTCCCCTATTGGCTCAAGTGTTTACGGAGAAAGTCAATCAGAGTGTTACAGTCGACCAATGTCAAACTTTCCAGGCTATATAAGATCTATTGAGGCAGCCATATGGCCGCATAATCAACTGTCTGAAAGCCCTCAAAATGAAGCAGATGAAGGTAATGCGCAATTGAATCTCAGGGAAATTCAACTGGCACTAGGCTTTGAAAAATCCTTAGCCAAAACCATGAATGAGTTTCATTCCCTTGAGGATGGAACTCGTCCATCTGATGCGGCGAGAGAGTTTCTTTCATCTTCTGCTATGATAGTTGTCTTCATGTGGAAGGAGGAATCATACATCAAATTCCAACCAATTCCGGGACAGAGATGGATATTTGAAGAAACAATGAATTCACTTGCTGATTGTGATTATCAATTTATCTGGATAGATAAAGAGAACGTAGTTGTCAACGATTTAGGTGATATTTGGGCAGTTGGACTGGAAGCAAGGCTTGTTTTTGCTGGCCCCAAAATGGATTATGCGGATGAAGAGTCATTAGAATCTTTTCTGGCGTGGATCGACAATCAAAGAGCCATGTGATACTTCCATATTTCCTCTCATACTATGTAGAAACTGCTACGTAGAAGGACAGTCTATATAGAGCCTGCTACATAGAAGGGCAGTCTATATAGAAACTGCTACATAGAAGGGCAGTCTATATAGAAACTGCTACATAGAAGGGCAGTCTATATAGAAACTGCTACATAGAAGGGCAGTCTATATAGAAACTGCTACATAGAAGGGCAGTCTATATAGAAACTGCTACATAGAAGGGCAGTCTATATAGAAACTGCTACATAGAAGGGCAGTCTATATAGAAACTGCTACATAGAAGGGCAGTCTATATAGAAACTGCTACATAGAAGGGCAGTCTATATAGAAACTGCTACATAGAAGGGCAGTCTATATAGAAACTGCTACATAGAAGGGCAGTCTATATAGAAACTGCTACATAGAAGGGCAGTCTATATAGAAACTGCTACATAGAAGGGCAGTCTATATAGAAACTGCTACATAGAAGGGCAGTCTATATAGAAACTGCTACATAGAAGGGCAGTCTATATAGAAACTGCTACATAGAAGGACAGTCTATATAGAAACTGCTACATAGCAGGGCAGTCTATGTAGAGTAGGCAATGTAGCATCGGAAAATAGTAGGGCGGCGAATTGCCGACGCTTCCTAGAGGCGGTCAGCAGAATGCGCAAAGGAGCCTAATTCAAATAGCGACTACGAACATAAACGCATTTGAACCTTCAAACCTTTAAGACACAAGATATAAATAAATTTCCGGCGCAACTTTCAAATGAAATATAAATAAGATCTCACCTCTTAGCGATTAATTTCGAAAATGCGTGCATCAATAGCAATGAATGAAGACACACGAGAATTACCGCTTGGTATCAACGAAGAGAATCCCCTGAATATGGAAGCCTCAGCGCATGCTTTCTTGGGGTTGACAGGAATTGGACAGGATCAATTGCCTGTAGATGAAGCAATGCAACGGAGCTTGCGAGTTCCCGCCGAAAGACTGGGCAATGGAGAATCAGAACTTCGAAAAAAGACAGCGTGGAAGTGTGGAAACTACACAATATTCAAGACAAGCAAGAACCTACAGAAAACGTGTCTAGCATTCCAAACGGATTGTGTAGGACGTGTTGTGGCGATAAAGCATTGTGAAGCTACTCGAGCCAACCAGACCGTGAATCTTGTGAAGACGACTCACCTAAACCTGGTCAACATCTTAGATGTATTCTCTGAAAAAGGGGTTTACCATCTCGTTTATCAGCTGATGGAGGTCTCTCTCCAGCAGTTAAATTCTTGTTTTGAGCTAGGCGAGATGGAAATAGCGTTCATTTGCCAAGAGGTGAGGGTTTTCTAAACATTCACCTAAGCTCCGATCTTGTTTTGACATCATCGTGTGTGAGTCCAGATCCTACATGGACTCTGCTACATACATCAGGAACTTGATATCTGCCATAATAGGATCCAGTGTGACAACATATTTATTGACAGGGGCGGTACGGTCAAAATCGGTATGAATAAGAATAGCCTGGATCCAATGTTCTTTGTGTTCGAACTGACAGTAAAATCAGGCGATATCGGTGCTTGTTTGCTTGAAGGCCAAAACACGTCCGAGCAGTATGATATACGTTCTATCGGGGCAGTAATGGCCGAGTTAATGAGCCTTGAAGACCGTCGTACAAATATCTTGACAGCCGATTCACATAACTGCGGGATGTGGAGTCACGCGATCTTGGATTTTCAATTGGAGACACAGCGATCCTGCATATGTTCGCTCCTCCGGCATGTCTTTATAAGACGTGCCCCTGCCACCTGTGGATCATTAGTGGTAGCGGCTTATGAAACCAGGAGATTGGTCCTTCATGACTATGAGTGATAGAGTCACCCTATGTATTACCGAGTTAAGCTTCTATTCCTGCAGACTTAATTATCACAGAGCGTGTCAAGCAAAGGCAGAGCTATGTTAGTGCTCGGCCAACTGCCAATAAAATCAATTTCTACATAGCCCTTTTCATATGGTCCAGAAATATATTGTCCGGCGTTCTTGTTGGGGTTCTCCCTGACACAGACCTTCAACTTTACCTACGATAAGAGATACCCTTGGATTTATAACTTTTCAATAGCCACTATCTATCTCTCAAAAGAAAGGAACCGTTCTAAGGCTTTCATGTACCCAATGAGTGTTGCTCAGAATGTGTCCGATAGAATCAGCAACGCCTCGGATATTCAGCTGCCCATAGAAGAAGCAGAACTCACCATGGACTTGGAAAAGCTACCCAAGAAATTTCGTTGTAGCCGACCTTCTTACAAGAGGTACCTAGGTGATCGACAGCTCTTATTTCTCGGAAATATCTACCGACAAGAGGTGGTTCCTAGGTCATATGCAGCCTCATTCGCAATACAGCGTGATATATTGATCTCGTTCTTCGGCGAAATCAATCCACATTCCGAGGCAGCGGAGGGTGACCTCTTTGCTCGTCCTGATTCCCCTGAAAATAGCTACCACGGCGATATGTCCGAGAGCTACGATATACACACACACAATTCATTAACGCCTGGCGGCTGAGCCGAAAGGGCAACTATCGCTAAACTACTATATATATCATAGTATATACAATTCTGTGACTCATTGGAGCCCATACACAAGACCTTGGCGTATTTGTCATTCTCAGCATGCAGTGTCGCAGCGGATGCTCGTGGGTTAGTAATGCGGTTAGTAGACTGGCTTGAAGGCGCTTCTCCAAGTGTTCAACATCCTATCTTCGGCAGTTGAAGCGCGTCCACCATGAGTAGCACGAGGTGGTTGGTGGGTTAGGTTAGAATGAAAGGGGGGTGATTTATGTTCGTCGGCGGGGTTAAGTGGCCTCGAGGCGGCCTGTGGCTATGGCGAATCGTATTGAGGCCCGTACTGCCTCTAAGTTTGGCGTCCACTTTTGATCGTCGGAAGGCGACTTCCCTCCCAGGTAAAAGGGCAGATTTCCTCGGTGAGTGTCGGTACATTGTAGCATATCCGTCCGGTGTGTGGTCCACTTCCGACATCGAAAGAGGAAGTGCTCCACAGTTTCCTTAGCTTGTCCGCACGCACACTGATCCGTGTCGGCCGCGTTGATTCGATAGAGGTATCCATTCAGTCTCGCCATGCCCGTCCGGAGTTGGGCTAGCACGGTCGCTTCCTTCCATGACAAGGGATCATACAGCTGTCGCGTGTGTTTTCCTGGGAGTGCTGCATCTACTCGTTTGGCGTGCTTTCCGACGTCCGCTGGCAGGGTATTTCTGGGGACTGCTTGAGACCGTGCGAGATTCAGCGTGGTTGATTTCATCCTCGGGGCGCGTTCTTGTAAGAGGGCATCTTCTTGTGTCGCGGCTCTAGCCTGTTCTTTGGCCAGACCTAGCAGCTTGTTGTCTTCACTGGAAGAAACCCAGCGGAATTGCACATGGTTTCCGTTTCTCTGCAACCTTTTAATCAACTTGTATATCCGACACACGAACTCCTGGCCAGATTGTTGTCGAGGGTTCCTGAGTGTGAGAACCGCCGCTTTGTTGCTTGTGAGCAGCGTGATCGTGTAGTCTTTCAGTCCTGTCGCCGTGTTCAATACATGTGCCATGGCTGCCAGTTCCGCAGAGAATGGATTCTGCTCTGCTCTTGCAGCCAAGGTGATAGATAGCGCTTTGTGTTTGAGCTTCCGATTCCGAGGTGGTCGCTTCTCGATGGCCACTCCAAAACCCACCAGCTCGTTCCGTGCAGAGCTGCTGACCGCGACCTGCATGCACCCGCCCGCTTCGGCCAGGGACTCATGCTGCTCATCAATGTCGGTCTGTACGCGTTCCGCCCACGGGGATAGTTTGAAGGGGTTGATCGTTTCTAATGTCTCCATGTCGATGTGCTTGAGCGTATCGGCCACGTGATACAGTGGTGAGCGGTGGTATCTTCTGAACTTTCTGATCTGATCTGTACACCGGCGAAGAGGATTGGTTTCCGGCAAGGTGTGGATGTCTGTCCACATTTTCACGGCTCGTTTCCAAAATCGACGTTGTGCAGTAGCCATGTGAGCCTCCGCCTCTGCGACACTAGTCGCGACCGTGAGAAATGTCCCCACAATGGCTTGCGCGCCTACTCTTTGGACTCGGTTGATCGGCCCCATCGCTTTATCCTTGCACGCGTGCATCCAGACATTGGAGGCGTAGTCCACGACTGGTGCTACCGTCGATGCGAATAGCTGTCGCGCGGTTGCTGGGGAGAGGCCACGGAGTCGCCGAAGCTCCATCGCTGCTTCGAGACCCTTGGACGCTGCTCTCGCGATATGCTCCTTGTACTTGAGTCTCGTGTCCATCAAGACACCCAGGATCTTAACGCGGTCTTTGGGTACCACCGTCTGCCCCTTGATGGTGAATGGCTCATGGTCCAATTTACGCATCTTGGGAGCAAAGTGTATGATAGCCGTCTTGTCAGCCTCAAATGTCGCTCCGCTTCTCTTTTCCCAGTTGAGCGCCTCGTTGATGATGGCTTCAATTCCTTCCCGGTTACTCTGGGCGGTCGGACCGGTCACCCACGCGGTAAAATCATCCACGAAAGCGACTGCTCCTCCCTGGCTGTCGATCTGTCTTTGCACGAGGTCTGCATTGAAAAAGAGAAATAGAATCGGAGACAGGGGCGAGCCCTGCGGCAGCCCAGCTTGTGGCAAGCTTTGAGTCTCAGATAACTGCCCGTTGATCAGGATGTTTGCCGTTCGTTCCGAGCAGAAGGCCTCAACCCAACGAAGCAAGACCTCCGGTATGCCTCGGGCTTTCATCCTCTGGATCAGTCGTTCTTTGCATACTCCGTTGTAGGCTCCCTTGACATCGAAGCTGATCAAGCTCAGCACTCGTCGGCCACGCCACGCCGCATAGATCTGCTCCTGCAGGAACACCAGTGCTTGCTATGCGGACCGCTGCTTTCGAGCCCCAAAGTGGCTCGTCGGGAGCAGTCCATGCGTCTCCACCGCGTGCGAGATCCTCTCTGCGATCACCGATTCGAGTATCTTTCCGAGTGTCGCAAGGAGTGAGATAGGTCTCCATGCCTTTGCAATGGTGTAGTCATCTTTATTCGGCTTCTTGAGCGGTATGATCTTGGCCTGTCTCCACTGTCTTGGCAGTGTGCCCTCTTGCAGCGAGGCTTGAAAGAGGTCGAGGACCCTGTGCTTGACTGTGGGCCACGTCATCTTCCAAACGATCGCCGGTAGGCCGTCTTCACCAGGTGCCTTCCACGACTTGGCCGCTGACAGTTGCCGCTCTATCTCCTCCATAGTGAGGGCTGGCATGTCTACAGGCGCTCTTTGTGGTCTCACTCCTTCCTCGTCGATGTTCTCTGGCAAAGGCGGGAAGAACTTGGATATCAATTCCTCCGCTTGCTCCTTGTGATCGTTCGTAGTGGTTCCATCGGCTTTGAGGAGCTGCGGAATCTTCCCGAACGCGGCATTGTCTCCCGACTTGAGGTACTTGGCGGCTTTCCAGATGTTGTCGTTGTCTGCGAGAAACTCGTTCCAGTGCTTCTTCTTTTGTTTGCGAATGGCATCGTGGTATTGTTTGGCCGCATCCTGGGCCATCGTTTCGAGCCGGGGGACTTTTCGCCCCGCCCGTCGCTCGGAGCGAGCGCGGTTTCTCCAGTGCGCGTATATATAACGGAGTTGAGTGAGGTCAGCTGTCCACCATCGCTTCGCATGTGGTGATGGTTTCGCCCTCGGGGTTAAAGCGTGCACCGCTTCGGACACTGCCAACATGAGTCGATCCGTTTTCTGCTGTACCGTGCCTTCCGACGGAAGGATGGCTAGAGCGTTCTGAATCCTGGCGTTAATCTCCTTCCATGGTGCATTCTTTAGTAAAAGTCGCTCTTGGTGCTTTGGGCCCGACCACTGGGCGTCGAACACGGACTCAATGGCGCAGTGATCAGAGCCGTGGTCTGTCTCGAGTAAAGCACATTTTGTCATGGAGTCCGTCAGATTTTCTGAAGCTAGGACGAGATCGATGGTAGACTCGCAGTCTCCACTTTGTCCACCGCCGTGCCATGTCTTGGTGCCGCGTTGAAGCAAGCTACTGAGCGCAAACTCATTCATGAGGTCAATGATCGGATCCGCTTCCCCTTGTCTTCCCAGCGACACCTCGTCTCCACCCCAGAGTTGATCGTGTCGGTTGAAGTCCCCCACCATCAGAATCTCCACCACGGCGCCTGTCTCTCGTCGTACCCTTGTGATCGCATCGTGTAAATGATTGCACGCATCGTCCAAGGCTGAGACATTGCCTCCTTCAACGTAAACCGATGCCATAAAGATCAGTCGCTCGGGAAGCCTGACCATCGCTGCTGTGATGTCTGGAGACTCCACAGGGACTTGCTCCACTTCGACTTCTTTGTTGACCCAGAGCATGCTCCGAATCGCCCATCTCCCCTCCCTCCAGGTGGAGGGCACCATCTTTGTCCACTTGTGATGCCCCATTGGAGTGGTCAAGAGCCGGCCTTGAATCCTCCTCGCTTGGGGTTCCTGGATCGCTAGCACCACCGCGTTTTGAGTGTCTTCGTCATTCATTAAACTCTCGTGCACTGCACCCTGCTTCCTCACGTTCAGCTGAATTATTCGAAGAGAATTATTCATGACGTGATGGATAGAGCTTCCGGCAGTTCTTGCTGTACGATTCGTGAGGCCCTCCGCACGGTACACACTTTGGAACCGGTTGGATGCAGTCGCTGTGGCGATGGCCCTCTGTAGCGCATTTCGCGCATTTCTGGGCGTTCTTGCACTGGAATGCCTTATGGCCTATCTCTTGGCAGTTGTAACATTGTGTCGGTCGCGGTCGGTGTTCGAAGACACTAGTCACACCAGATTCCCCCCCCCCGCGTGGAAAAATCCATCGGCCGAGAGCCTTCGCGCGTCGATGCGTTTGGTCAGGTAAACCACCATTGAACCGTAGGCCTTCTCGCTCTCTTTTCTCCTCAGCCATGAAATCTTGGCTACGTTGGTCTCATTCTCCTCACTAAACGCTGCTGCAGCCTCGGTTCGGACCTCACCGCTCTCGTCTAGCACGGAGGTCTTGTTGACGCTGTCGACTTTGATCGGGTAGAGCTCGTCACGGAGGACCCGAGCTCCCGCCCCGATTTTCTGTTCTGCAACCTTTTTGACCAGCTGCTGTTCATCCTCATCCCGGCAGGCAATCCTGATCCGGTTGGCGTTTTTCGGGTCAACGGTAACAGCGCGACAGCGCCAGTGCGCGTGGCCCTCTGTTGACTGCATCTCTGCCTCAACCGCTGCTCTGACTGAGCCTGCGGAGGTCAACCCTGTCCCTTTATCTGCCATCTTCGAGGTGTCTATCGTGCAAAAGAGCGTGTCCGTAAAGGTGGTGGGCGTCGTGTTCAGCGTTAAAAGGGTCCGTATGTTGCTTGGGTAACTGGACGGCGGAGTGCGCGCGACATCTGCGTAGGAAGGAGAGCCTGCAACAGCGGGAACACTGATCTCCTCGCGTAAGGACTGGATTTCGCGCAGGATCGCATCGTGGTTGTTCTGAGAGCACGTCTCCGAGTGGCATTGCGGTGTCGTGTTTCTATTCGTCAGGGACTGTAGCTCGTGTCGGACCTCCGCGAGGGCGGCACCGAACTGTTCTCTGGTTCTCTGAATTTCTTCCTTGTGTATTTCGTCACGGAGTCTGATCTCTCGCCTGAGTTTGGCGATCTCTCTCACCAAACCGCCGACGTCGAGCTCTTCGCGCTCAGTCGCGGCGTCGTCCGAAGTTGCCTCGTCACGCCGGTCTCCTAGCTCAATTCTCTCCTTTTGCTGGGAACGCGTCTTCCGTCGATCAGTATCAATTTCCTGCTCACGAGCGTAGTTGTTCGGTGGTCGAGTGGTGCGTTTCGGTCTCGCCAGTCGCGGTGGCGAATCTTCGCGTTCGTCACGGTCGGGCGGTTCAGGGGTTCGCATCGCGGCCCGTCCCGCCATCACTCTCAATCAGTACAGGAAGTCGGTATTGTCGCCACGTGGCCTGACAGGGGTTACAGTCCTCGTGAACGGTTCTTCGCATCCAGGAGTTGCCAACACAGTCGCCTCTCTCAGCATACAGTCGATCAATTAATTGGTTATCCGTCGATCCGGGTAGAATACAGTCGATCAAGGATATGTACAGTGATTGTCATACCGCTACGATACATATTCTTGGGAAAGCGAAGGACACCATACAGATACGGATGAGCTCCAAGAACCTCAAGATGAGCCTCAAGATGAAACTGAACACTAAGAGCATGAGTCGTCTGGAGATTTTGAGTCCAGGCTGAGTGAAAGCCTCGAGAGCGATGATCCACTGAACCGGCCGCAAGCCTATCAATCAAGAGCCGATTCCTGGGAAACCCACTCCATATCAACCCTATCAAGCTTTTGGGCTGTTGATGACCAGTTAATGTCACTTGACCCCTTGATGACGCATTCAAGCTTTCTCAATGACTTACTTTCATAAATGGATGATATCCTGCTCTATTTCTGGCAAACCAGGCAGTACACGCAGCTGTCAAGTAGGCCCCAAGATGAACATTTATTTGACAGCAAGACGCGGCTCCTGGCGAACCAGCATCAGATGTTCATATCAATAATTCGTAATAAGCCACACCTGGTCCTTCTCAAAGATCTCTACGATACGGCGGCATGAAAAGCTTATTTTAGTCGGACCAAAGCATGATCGAAGGGGTTTGAGTAGAAGGCTCATGTCTCAAGCTCAGAACATAATTTTTGGATTTCTTGATAGTGTGGACTTGCAAGAACCAATTGCTTGAGCTCCAATCATTGGTTCACTATTCGTAATCATGTAGAACCAAACCTCGGACCTTCATAACAGGTACAACCAAGCATCCTTCAGCAGCTGCATATGATATAAAAACATGCTAGTAAAGAATTAGGAACTGCAATAAGAGGAGCTTATCATGATAAAACACACCTGCAAAAGTGCTTGTATTGTAGCCCTCGCAGTTGTAGAAATAAACGTGCGTATACCATCGCTACCGTGGGAAAGACTGGCATAAGAAGCCTCAAGGTCATGAGCAGAAAGTCCTGGCTCGAGGACTTTGCAAATCATAATACCAATGGACTTGATATCGAACTGTTCAGACCCTTGATGTCGTTCGAGCAGACAGGCTGCTATATTCGCTGCTTAAATTTAGTCTCAGTTATCGTATTTTGTGTGAGCACTAACCAATCTTCACGTTACCCTGCGATGATATGAACACATTGTCGCAGGTAAGGGCTGTATGGCAAACACCGAGATCTCGGTGAATATACCAAAGCCCATACAAGAGCTACATAAATATCAGTAGGTAAGGGAAATACATGGCATGCTTCTGTAGCTCACCTCCTTGCAAATGAAAGCAAGATCAGACTCCTTTAGCCGAATGCCAGACTGAAGTTGCTCCAATGAGAGATCCATAATCTCGTACGCTAAATACAGAGTCCTAGACTGTTTGAATGCGTCAAGGAGGTTGACAATATTTGGGTGACTGATCATCTTCAGATGGCAAGTCTTGTCGATACCACTCGTCTTATACTCCTTGATTGCAACTACCGTCCCTGGGGAGTCTGTGGCGTAGGCTAAGCAGGTTTTTCCCGGCTTCGCTCCCTCTTTGAACTTTTCATATTTCATCCAGGGCGTATGGTCCTTGCAAAATGATAGCATTTGGCGTTTGGGATGTGGTTCATCGGCTTTGATGGTCCTCTTGATTGGGAGCTGGAGCCATCGCTCTGGAATTTGAAAGCGTCGCACCTCCCTGTTTTGGGGCTGGCTGATGTTTCTGGCATCAAATTCGCTGTCGCATATCTCCTCACTCCTCGGAAACACAGTAATTCGATTTTCATTGATGTCAGTGTGGCTCTCGATTTCTCTGCTATCGTCATGATCGTTGTTTTGGGGAATGATTCCGGATGCAATATCCGTACTTCTTGAGAATAGCGTCCACCGATTGTCAGTCATAGTTAATTTCTTTTTCTTTTTATGCCTAGGCAGGGAGGAGAGAGAGCTTAAATCATTCCTAGGCAGTAGTAACAAGGGGAAGATTACATGCTCGCTCTATTTTTAGCACTACTAGTGGAATAGTGGGCGATTCGCCCTCTACTAGAACGCCACTAACTTATTCATACGTAGTTTCATTCTATATTAGTTATCTGACTATACTACTCAATACCCTAGCCTCTGTACTCGTACATCCCTTAGCTGTCACTCAGAAGAACCCAAATACGGCAAAAGTACACCCTGCTACTATGATCAACGTTATTCGCAGTGGGATCTGGGCCGATTCAATGCCATTTGAGGTAGTACTCGATGAAGTCGATCCGGGTGGAGAAATCGATCCAGGTGTTGAAGTAGATCCAGATGTTGAAGTAGATCCAGATGATGAAGTTGGTCCAGATGAAGACATAAGAGTGGGTATGGAGGGAGTGACAGGGGTAGAAACAGGCGTAGAGGTGGGGAAACGGCTCCCACGGGTTATTGGATGGTGGGTCGCCTCGACGCTTAGTATTGGGGTATGCCACAAAAGGTCAGTCGAAGATGGAGAAGCTCCTTGGGGCCGCATTGTTCGCGTCCGAGTAAGACTATTCGTGCTCTTTGAATATGCCAGAGGACCGTATAAATGTCTACTTGAAGAGGTGTTTTCCAAGACTGTGACCGTCGTATATCGAGTCGCAGTACCTGTCGTCGTTATGGTAATCGCATGTATTCCCTGGCTATTCTCGCTCCCAGCTAGAACACACGCTTGAAAGTAGGCTAAGATAATGAAGAGCAGCATCATGTCTTGAAATTGATTTCATCATTTTGCATAGCATTTTGAGCGGCTTTAAGCGAAATGTAGATTCTCAAAAGTGGAAAAAGTTCAAATGTATCTTTTCTACTTTTAACCTTCGCAAAATTTCGACTTTAATTGTTTCTTATCCTTCGACGGTCATAGGTGTGACCGCCGCCTGCTTAGGCGAGCCGCCCACGATAGCCCCACTTTGTGATAAGCCTCATCACATACTATATTTCTATTTTTGTGGCGAGTCACCCTCGGCAAGGATCGAAGGGGAGCCCTCTACTGGATACACGATATATATCTGTAGAGTACCAAACTTAGACCTTTTGACTACATGACATGTCAAACCCAGCTAATAGAAAACGTGCACTGGAAAGGAGGAGGTGTCGGGAAGAGCTCGCAAACCACATTAGTAAGCATACCCGCCGAAGGTGGAAGCGGCCCCGGGGAGGACATGGCTAATCAAGTATAAAGATGAGCGACTTGG